AGTGAGGGGGAGTGAACAACATGAAGGGAGGTTGGAACCAAGACGAACAAAACTGTTGGTCCACCTGATCACATAAAACAGTGATGTACCATCAACTTTTTTACCCGAGATCTCTTGGAGTAGGAAGGGGTGGGTTGTAGGAATCAAGGGGGTAGTATCTACTCTCAATTGAGGGGGTAGACGTGGACACATTGAGGAGGGGTGGTGGAATGCGACGCTTCCCCCTGGGGCGGACCCACACATCTGTACTGGAATTGAAATTTGAGTGAACTTTGAGCTAGGGGGGCCAGTGCTACAACTTTGTTGATTACCAAAAAAGGCTCGGCAGTACAATTTCCCAAATAGTTTACTCAATTTTCACTAATTCGGTGTACGAAGAAATCAATTCACAAAGAATTTAAAATTTCCAGTTTTTCCCGAAAATTTCGAGCCAAAATTTCGAGATTCCCGGTGGGAATCATACAAAACATGGACTGCGGTGGGGTGAAGGAGATCATCTTGAAAGGTAGGGTGATTTGTGGTAAATCAGGGGGTACTGGTCCCCACGATAGCCTTTCACTAGGGGTACTCTTTACTGAACAAAGGTGGGTGGAGTAGGATGAATCTTGAACCCCTGCCGTTGACTGTGAAAGATGGGTAGGGTGATTGAGTGTGTAGGGTTTATTCCTAGGGAGATAGGGGGTTCTGTTAGGGTGATTGGTGTAGTAAAGTGCACGAGCGCAACCTTGGTAGTCGAGGGGCCAATTGAAGGCAACATTAGTTTGCTGTTTCCAATTTTCAAATTTAACCCCAAAAAGTTAGTGAAAATATCAAATTGTCTCGACATTTCACTAACGTGAAGATTCTTCGGAGATGTGAGGGGTGGGTCATCCCTCCCATTATGTTATCTCCACAGGGGTGGGTGGTACAACCCCTACGCCGCTCAGGCGGTTTTTATCTTCCAAAGTTAGCGATGTAGGAAGTGTTAGGAGGTCATATCTGGGGTACTAGAAAGATACCAACTCTCGACTGGAGGGGTGGTTTTGCAATGCTTCACCACCGGTGCTTGTTAGGAGAAGTTTTGGGTCAAGGCTTGGAGGTGGGTAGGGGTACTTGCAGGGAATGGGGCTAACACCACCCTACCCAGATAAAGCCGCGACGCATAAGGAACAACGATGGTAGCGCCTGGGAGAGAGGGGGTTCTTATTGCCAGGGTAGGGTACTCTCAAGAAGGGTTTTGTCTCGAAGAGGGGTACTTCGAAGGCTTGTTAGTGAGAAGGGGTGGGGTAGTTTTATATGAGTGTACACCGGAAGGGGTGGGGTAGGGGAGTAAATTAGGGGTCTTCGCGAGGTGATGCTGGGGGGGGGGGGGTGATAAGACCAAGAGAAACAAGGGTAGGGGGTCGTTGGTAAACTGGAGATCATGGACGCTGTGCGAAGCGAGGGGCGCGGAGGAAAGCAGTTCATGCATGGAGAAAATTTTGCAAGTGCCAGGGACATGATGCTGTAAGAGAGCGAACTCTTTCAAGTTCCAGGGTTGAGAAGTTGAAGACCAACAAGCCTACTGAGGGCCAGCATCGACGAAGAGCCTCTTGCCATCACCAAGACTCCTGATCTCTGATTTTGCGGTACGGAAAGCTGTTTTTGAAAGGACGAGATACAGGAACTTAGGCAAGGATGAGCTGCAGTAAAGGAGGGGAAGTTTCTCTATACATCGACATAGGAGGGCAGGAGAGGGCAGGTCCGTCATCGTGCTTCCAGGATGTTGTAATCGGCCCGATCGTTTTTGTTGTATTCTTTTCCTTGCTGTACATAAGGGTTAGAAATATATTGGAGACTCTGCCTCTCGGCGGATCTCTTGTCTCGCTCACAGGTGGGTTAGACCGCCTCCAAGTTGCTACAATCTTTGCTCTTCTGTTGCAATCGATCGTTCTTCTTTTCCTTGGAACCTCGGATTTCATCTACCATGTTTTGCAAGTGGTGACATGGATAGGAAACCTCGTGATCGTCGTCATGGAGATGCAGAGGGGTCTGCAGAGAGGTAGCGAGGTCAAGCTGCTATGGATTGTGAATTTTCTGATGCAAGCTGTGCGCTTCCGAGTTGCCGTACTCTACTACACTTTCATGGAGCCGGATTCGCCCGCGTCGCAGGGAGAACGAGCGTCAGCAGACACAGTTTCTTTCATCTTCTCGACGATCTTGCTGGCTGAGGGGCTCATGGAACGTCCTCGCATTAAATCGGCTGCTTCGGTCTCATACGGAAAGATGGAGGGAGCACAGGAGGGCGATGAGAAGCTTGACGCTGCCAAGACCAAGGGCGAAGGTGCAGCAAGCTGGGGATCGAGGATCATGTTCGGATGGATGACACCACTGTTGAAGGAGGGAAGCAAGCAGCAGCTGACTGATAGTGACCTCCATCCCCTACTGCATGGGGACACCTCCCAGGAAGCGGGGAGAAAGCTCCTGGAGGCATGGCAGGAGGAGTGTAGGATCAGACCGGACGACCCATCACTGTTTCAAGCATTGAAACGAGTGTGGTTGCATGACTTCATTATCTGCGGTTTCTTCAAGCTGATCAACGACACGGTTGTCTTCATCGGCCCCCTCCTCCTCCAGTCCCTCGTCAGGTTCGTAGAGAGTGGCGGAGACGGGACTCAAAGGAGCTCTGCCGTCGACGGAGCCATTCTTGCTATAGGAATTTTCCTTGCGAAGACGGTCGAATCCATGGCGGTGAATCAGTACTTCCATTATGGGTACAGGATCGGAGGGCAGGTTCGAGCTGCCATGACGATGTTGGTTTATCGCAAGGCGTTCCTCCTCTCTTCGAAGGGGTATCAGAACTTCAAGATCGGAGAGATGGTTTCCCTCATGTCCGTAGACGCACAACGTCTGTGTTCTTCTGCTCCCTACCTTCACCTGTTCTGGAGTGCTCCTTTGCAGCTCACCGTGGCAACCATTCTCCTCTACAACCTGCTGGGCGCCTCTGTGTTCGGAGGCCTGATGATCATGATTGTGATGATTCCGCTGAGCACGTACATCGCAAAGAAGAGAGCGGGGCTCAATCGCACAATCATGAAGATCAAGGACGAGAGGTCGAACTGCATGGACGAAGTGCTCCAGGGGATCCGCGTCATCAAGTACTTTGCGTGGGAGCAGAGCTTCACGAAGAAGGTGCAGGAGGTGAGAAACAGGGAGGTGGATCTCATCTGGAAGAACTCGCTGTGGGCCATCTTCTCGACATTCTTGTGGGCAGGATCTCCCATGCTTGTTGCCCTCATCTCCTTCACTTTCTACTCGCTCTCTGGCAACGAGCTTCGCCCCAACATCGCCTTCACTGCTCTCGCCCTGTTCAACGTGCTTCGTTTCCCTCTAAACACGCTCCCCATGATCATCAACATTGTCGTGGAGAGTCAAGTTGCTCTGGGCCGTCTCACCAACTACCTGCTGGCGGACGAAGTGGACAAGAAGTACTATATCAACTGCAAGGAGGGAGAGGACGACCCTCAGAGCTTGAACTTCTCCAGGAAGGAGGAAGAGGTGGTGTCGGAGGTGCCAATCGTCATCCAGGACGGTCGCTTTTCCTGGTCGAACGCTCCCACAGCAAAGCAGGAAGACGCCGCCAAGGCCACCACCTTCCTGTCGAAGTTGCTGCAGATCTTCAAGGGCGTACCAAAGATGCGAAAGGGGGCTGAGCTCGGCACCTACAACTGTGTTCTACGGGACATCGATCTTGAGGTCAGGAAGGGCGAGCTGTGCATGGTCGCGGGGAAGGTGGGGTGCGGGAAGACGTCCCTGCTGTGCGCTATCCTTGGGGAGATGAGAAGGAGTCGGGGAGCGTGTCTCTATCTGGTCGGATTGCGTACGCGGCTCAGCAGCCCTGGATTAAGAATGCGACGGTGAGGGACAACATCCTGTTCGGGTCAGAGTACGACGAGGAGAAGTACGGAGCTGTGATAGAGGTCTGTGCCCTCCTTCAGGATTTCGAGGTCCTCCCTGCTGGGGACCAGACGGAGATCGGCGAGAAGGGCATCAACCTCAGCGGAGGGCAGAAGGCGCGGATCAGCCTGGCGCGCGCAGTCTACCAGGATGCTGACGTGTACCTGCTGGATGATCCTCTCTCGGCTGTGGACGTGCACGTGAGCAAGCACTTGTTCGAGGAGTGTGTCAAGACGTACCTCAAGGGCAAGACCATCATCCTCGTTACCCACCAGATCCAGTACCTCCCGGGAGCTGACAAGGTCCTTTACCTCGACAGCAACCGCATCGTTGCCCAGGGCACGTTCGCGTCGATCTCGGAGGCGCACCCTCACCTCATCGACACGAGCCATGGCCCCTCGATGTCCCGCAACAACTCGCAGGATGACCTGAGCAAGACGGCAGATCTCAAGAGCGCCAGCAGCGACAAGCTCCCCAACGGGACGGACGGGACCAATGGGGAGAAGAAGGCGCGAGTGCTCAAGTCGCAGTCCAGCACGGGGTTGGACTCAAAGCAGACGATCACCAAGGAGGCAAGAAAGTCCGGGACAGTTCCGTTGGCTGTGTGGACGAGCTATGCTAGGAGCATGGGGCTGCACATCGCAGGCTCGGTTATCCTGGCGTACGTTATTTCCCAGCTCATCCAGAGTGCAAATGACTTCTGGTTGACCGTCTGGTCCAGCGCCTACCTGGCGCACGACCAGGCGGCAGAGCTGCAGACTGAGCAGACGACGCCTGCGCCAGTCAACACGGGCTTCTACCTCGGCATCTACGCGCTCATCACCCTCATATCCCTCGGCTCCGTCACTGTTCGCAGCGGCTTCGTGGCCATCGGAGCCTTGAGGGCATCAGTGAAGCTGCACAACGGGATGCTCGAGCGAGTGCTGCGAGCGCCGACGAGGTTCTTCGACACGACGCCGACCGGGCGAGTGCTGAACCGCTTCACGTCGGACATGTACACGCTCGACAACGAGATGCGAGAGACGCTCTCCATGATGCTCATGTGCCTGGTGCGAGTGATTCAAGTCTCGCTCGTAATTATTTACGTCACTCCCACCTTCCTTCCCATCGTCATCCCGCTCTCCTACGTCTACTACCGTGTGCAGGAGTTCTACCGCAACTCGTCAAGGGAGCTGAAGCGCCTCGAGTCCGTCGCCAAGTCTCCCATCTTCGCCCAGTTCTCGGAGACCCTCAACGGCCTGTCGACCATCCGCTCCTTTGGCTCTCAGCACAACTTCGTCCACAACTCGCAGCAGCTCAACGACTGCTTCTCTCGCGCCTACTTCGGCAACAACGCCTCCAACCGATGGCTCGCCGTCCGCCTTGAGTTCATCGGTAACATTGCCATCGGCTGCGCCTCCCTCTTCGCCGTCCTGCAGAACGCGAGTGACCCAGCGGCCGCCGGGCTGGTTGGTCTGAGCATCACGTACGCGCTGGAGGTGACGGGGACGCTCAACTGGTCCATCCGCACCTTCACGCAGCTTGAGAGCTACATGGTGGCTGCGGAGCGAGTGGAAGAGTACACGACGATGGAGACGGAGGCGCCGGCAATCGTCGACTCGTACAGAACGGCAGACTCGTGGCCCTCGGAGGGTAAGCTATCGTTCGACAACGTGAAGCTGCGCTACCGGTGAGAAGGAGGAGGAGGAGGAGGAGGAGGAACGAGGGGCAGGAGCAGGTGAGGGAACAGGAACAGGGGCAGGTGCTGGAACAGGAGCAGGGGCAGGAGCAGGAGGAAGAGGAAGAGGTGGCTTCCTTCCTGTATACTGACGGGTGAACAGTGAGGGGTTGGAGCCTGCGCTGAAGGGGATCACTTTCGCCACAGAGGCGGGAGAGAAGGTGGGCATCGTCGGGAGAACAGGTGCAGGCAAGTCAACGCTGGCTGTAGCACTCTTCCGCATGGTGGAGATCTTCGAAGGGTGAGGGAGGGAGAGAGGATTACGGTAGGTGCTGAGTGCCTGTGAACCAGGACGATCCTGCTGGATGGAGTGGACATCTCCAAGATCGGGCTCGACGACCTGCGCAAGAACGTCTCCATCATCCCGCAAGACCCCGTGCTCTTCACCGGCACCATCCGCAGCAACCTCGACCCCTTCTCCGAGTACTCCGACAGCTCCGTGGATGACGCGCTTAGCAAGGTCCACATGCTGGACTACGTTAGGAGCAATGGAGGGCTCTTGCACGTTGTGCAGGAGGGAGGAAAGAACCTCAGCGTCGGACAGCGGCAGCTGCTCTGCATGGCGAGGGCTCTGCTTCGCAACGCCAAGGTGATCGTCATGGACGAAGCGACTGCCAGTGTGGACATGCAGGTGATGCTCGTTTGCCTGCTCTCTGTGTTGCTTCCTCCTCCCCCGCCCCTCTCTCCCTCCCCTTTCCTCATGTAGTGTCGCAGACGGATTCCTTCATCCAAGAAACTATCCGAGAGCAGTTCAAACACAGCACAGGTAGCTTACTCCCCAACCACCATTGTCTGTTCTTGTCCTCGTTCCTCTTGTTCTCCTCTTTCTCCTCCTCGTCTTCTCTGACTTGCCTTGGAAGTTCTTACAATCGCCCATCGGCTTGACACCATCAAGACGTGCGATCGCGTTATGGTGGGTGAAATCTATCAGCTCTCCATACTCATCCCACAAGGGCTCTTCTCGTCTCCACTCCTCTTCTTCTCTCTGTCTCTTGCTTCAGCACCTGCATCTTTATCTTTATGTTCCCCTCCGCCTTCTGATGCCCAGTAGGTGCTCGGGGAGGGTCGGGTTCTTGAGATGGGCCATCCGTCCACGCTGCAGAAGGTTTCCTTTCCTCGTCCCTCTCACGCCGTGACGATCTACCAGGACACGACCTCCATCTTCTACAAGATGACCTCCGACTCTGCTGCTGCCGCCGAGATGCTGAGCTGAACAAGCTGAGACGGTGGCAAGGCAGAGGTAGGAGCGCGGGAAGAGGCAGGCGAGGGAGAAACAGGGGGAGGAAGTTTGCGACTCCGTTGCGAGAACAGAGTACAGGAGGAGCAAGTTTAAGTGTTGGGTAATTACAAGAAGATGGGAGAAAATTAAATCATGTCGCATGCAGAGGCTTGAGAAACACATGCATGCCCTTCATTTCTTTTTGTCTTGCTTCGACTTTCCGCTGTCAGCTGATTTCTGTGATTTCCCTCCCTTAAGAGGACCATTGTTCCCAGCTTTCTTAGGACTCTCAACGGGTTCCTCTTCTTCATCTCCATCATCGCTATCTTCTTCATCGTCGTCGTCGTCTTCGTCATCATCATCTTCTGCGTCATCAGACAGCTCTACGTCGTCATCTTCGTCGTCGTCGGACGCCTCTTCATCTGATTCCTCTTCCTTTGCTTTGATCGGTGCCTTCTTCGCTTCCTTTTCATTCTTCTTCTTTTCTGTTTCGCTATCCATTTCCCCCGCCTTCCGCTTCCTCTTCTTGTCCGCCTCCTCGCTGACCGGTTGGGTCCTCTTGGAGCTAGCATCCACTTTCACATCATCGTGTCCGTTCGACCCAGCCGCCTTGCTCGTTGAGGACTTCTCAGCATCTTTCTCCTCACTGATCTCTCCTGACAGCTGCTTCCTGATAGCTGACATGAAAACGCTCGAGAAAACGGCGCTGATGAACTCCTTCCTGTGGGCCTTGATGTGCTGCAGAACTGCCGCCGGGCTCCCCGTGCGAACGACCTCTTCCACCGCCTTCTTGGTAGCAGGACGGAGCTCTCGAGGCTTCTTCTTGGGATCTGAGACAGAACGCACAACATCACCCGCCTCCTTCGCCGCCTTCTCCACCACCGCCGCTGCCTCCGCCGAGCTCAGCATGCGCGAGCTATCGTGAGGGGTCGTAGGTGGGGGTAGGGTGATTTTTTGTGTGGGTGGTCTGAGGTTCTGGAGCAGAGTGGGAGAGGAAAGAGGGGGTATAATCATGGAAAAAGGTGGGTGGGGGTGATTTTTACCTACCCGGGGATGAAATTGTGTTGGTGGAGACTGTAGGTGGTTCACCTGGTTCGTAGCAGGGGGTGGTAAATGTACCCCTCCTCAGAAGGCAAAACTATAGTTCAGAATAGGGGGTAGTGATTACCATTCTTCAGTTTGAGAACTTTTGCAAGAGGGGTGGGTACTGGGGGCAAAGAGAGACTTGGGGTGGGTAGTGTTGTAGGAACCAAAAGGGTGAGGGGTAGTGCGGGGAAATGATGGATCCAATCTTTCAGTCAACGGTCCAATTTCACTATTTTATATGAAAAATATATTAAGTAAATATTTTTATTTGTTTTTCGGAGGGTATGGGTGGTCTTAACCCTGTTCGAGATCATTCCATCATCTAGGCCCTAGGACCGGCATTTTTCAAAGTTTCGAAGTAAGTCTGAGCTAAAGTTTCAAAGTTTCGATGTTTCAAAGTTTCGGCACTTTCTGTAAAGCACACGTGCCCATGGCGGCTAGGAGGCGCTTCGCCTCGTTCCTCAACGAGAATGCAGAGCTGGAGGTATCAGTGATGCGAGAGGATGATGATGGTGCAGAAGAGACGGAGGAAGAGGAGAAGGGCAGGGGGCAAGACAAACAGATCACTGAAAAGGGAAATGCGAAGTTCAAGTTGGCAAGCGACAACGTTGCCGGGTTCTGGCAGAAGCTTTTCTTGGATCAGATCGGAGTGCAGTCTGTGATCCGAACTCCCTTCGGAGAAAGGAATGTTGTTTTTGCAGACTACATAGCTTCAGCCAGAGCCGTGCGATCCATCGAGACGTTCATCAGCAAAGAAGTCTTGCCCCTTTACGCCAACACCCACACCACCGCCTCTGCGACAGGCATGCAGAGCACCTTGTTCAGGGCAGAGGCGAGGTCGATCGTAAGGAGATGCGTGGGCTGCGACAACAACAAAGACTCGCTCATCTTCACGGGCACAGGATGCACAGGAGCTGTGGTGAAGATGGTGGAGCTTTTGAGGTCTAGCGAGATGTGGAGGGAGTGCATGAAGGCAGGTCAGCGACCGCTGGTGGTTGTGGGACCATACGAGCATCACTCCAACCTCCTGCCATGGAGAGAGACAGGAAGCGAGATCATCGTCGTGAGGGAGCAGGAGGAGGGCGGAGTCGACCTTGCACACCTTGAACAAGTTCTGTCGCTTCACAAAGAGAGGAAGGTCAAGATCGGGTCCTTCTCTGCTGCCTCCAACATCACAGGCATCCTCGTCGACACCGTCCAGGTTGCCATCACGCTGCACAAGCATGGAGCCCTCGCCTTCTTCGACTTCGCCACTGCTGGCCCCTACTGCCCTGTGAACATGAACCCTCCTGCCTTCGGGGAGGACGCGCACTTGGCTCACAAAGACGCCATCTTCCTCTCCCCGCACAAGTTCGTAGGAGGAGTCTCCTCCCCCGGGGTCCTGGCCTTCAAGAAGTCGCTGCTGGGGAAGGGATTCATCTTCGGGGGAGGCGCGCGGCCCTCAGTACCCGGAGGAGGGACTGTGTTCTTCGTTACCGAGCACGACCACCGCTACCTGGAGAACTTGGAGGAAAGGGAGGAAGGAGGAACGCCTGACGTCGTCGGGTCGATTCGCTGCGGGCTCGCGATGAGGCTCAAGGAGTTCGTCGGGGCTGAGAGGATCATGGAGGAGGAGGAGAAGCTATGGAGAAGGGCCTTGCAGGCACTCGAACAGCAGCCGGAGCTGGAGGTGCTGGGGAAGGTGAAGGCTGCTCGGCTGCCTGTGGTCTCGTTCAACGTGCGGCATGGCGGGAAGCTGCTGCACTTCAACTTCGTCTCTGCTCTCCTCAACGACCTCTTCGGCATCCAGGCTCGCAGCGGATGCTCCTGTGCTGGGCCGTATGCTCAGCGCCTGCTGGGGATCGACTTCCTCCTGGCAAAGGAGTACGAGCATGCGCTACTGCTGGGTGATGAACTGCTGCGTCCTGGCTTCGTGCGGCTGAACTTCGCCTTCTTCCTCCCTGAGTTCGTGGTGGACTACATGCTGCAGGCCCTGCTGTGGGTGGCGCGGGAGGGGTGGAGGATGCTCCCCCTGTACACGTTCAATGCAAGCACGGGGGAGTGGAGGCATCGGAGCGAGAGGAAATTCATGCTGCGACACAGGAAATGGATGAGCGACGTTTCGTTCAGCCAGGACAAGAGCTCGCGGTCAGCTGGGGACGCTGGTGGGGAGGAGGAGGAGGAGGAGGAGGATGGGACCTTCTTGGAGAGGCTAGAGGCAAACTTCAAGAGGAACATGGAGATGGCAGAGGAGGTTGTCAGGAAGATAGAGGAGGCAGCGAGGGGCGGGAAGCCTGTGGGGCCGACGATGGTCACAGACAGTCAGCTGGCAGGGGAGGAGAAGGCGATCGGGAGTCCGGACGCTGCCCGACTCCGCTGGTTCCTGCTGCCCTCTGAGGCGCTGGCGGAGCTGCGAGGGAAGGAGGCAGCTCCTGCTTCCCATCCCTCCTCCGCCTTCGTGCCCGAGGGTCACGAGCCTTGTGGGATGGACGAGGAGGCGGTGGAGGAGGTTCTTCGGAGGCAAGCGAGCTTCGAGCGGTTCGCACGGGAGCAGCAGGAGGTCCGAGTGCTCTCCTGTCCCTCCCCCACAATCACTGACGCCTCCTGCAGGAGCTGCTAGCTCGTCAGCCGCATTCTACCACAGAGGACATGCTGCGTGTGCTGGGGGAAAGATGGAGAGCCATGCCGAAGGATGAAGAGCACAAGGAGGAGGAGACGAAGGGAGAGGAGAACAAGAGGAAAGGGGAAGGGAAGGGGAAGGAGGGAAAGGGGAGGGTAGGAGGAGGGAAGGAAGTTGAAAAGCAGATGAGCAGTGGCAAAGTAGCGGAAGGGAAAGGAGAAGACGAGGTTTCAATGCACAAGAGAGCGCAGAAGGCAGAGAAAAAGCTCATGAGTTCAGTCGGGAAAGCGATCCAAGACTTCGGAATGATCAAGGTGCCCATCACTCGTGCTGCTGCTGCTGCTGCTGCTGCTGCTGCTGCTGCTGCTGCTGCTGCTGCTGCTGCTGCTGCTGCTGCTGCTGCTGCTGCTGCCCTTGCGTCTCAGCTCTCCGCTCATTCCCTTGCCTCGCGCTAACCTCCTTCTCCTCTCAGGACGGAGATCGCGTGCTGGTCGGTCTTTCAGGAGGCAAGGACTCTCTCTCCCTCCTCCACATCCTCCTCGCGCTCAAGAGGAAGGCGCCGATCAAGTTCGACGTCGCCGCATGCACAGTAGACCCGCAGACGCCCGAGTACGACCCGAGCACGCTCAAGACCTACCTGCAGGAGCTCAACGTCGCCTACTTCTACGAGTCTCACGGAATCATCCAGCAGGCGTCCTGCAGCCTGCAGAAGAACAGCATCTGCAGCTTCTGCTCGCGGATGAAGAGAGGGGTCCTCTACAGCGTGTGCGAGAGGGAGGGGTTCAACGTGCTCGCCCTGGGTCAGCACCTGGACGACCAGGCTGAGAGCTTCCTCATGTCGGCCTTCCACAACGGGCAGCTCAGGACGATGAAGGCCAACTACTTGGCGCGCGAGCATGCTGTGCGGATCATTCGCCCACTCACCTACGTGCGGGAGCAGGTGACGCGCGAGTTCGCCATGGCGAAGAAGCTGCCGGTGATCAACGAGAACTGCCCGGGATGCTTCGAGGCGCCGCAGGAGAGAGCGAGGATAAAGATGGTGCTGGCAGCGCAGGAGCAGATCTTTCCTGACCTCTACGGGAAGCTGGGGAAGGCGCTGCTGCCGCTGATGGCGGCTGAATGTGCCGATGCTTCTGCTCCTGTGGTGAAGGAGCTGCAGGGGAGCAAGCACGCGACCGAGAGAGCGATGATGGGATCGACAGGAGGAGGAGGAGGAGGAGGAGGAGGAGGAGGAGGAGGAGGAGGAGGAGGAGGAGGAGGAGGAGGAGGAGGAGGAGGAGGAGGAGGAGGAGGAGGAGGAGGAGGAGGAGGAGGAGGAGGAGGTCTTTTTTTTCTTCTTTACTTTT